TGACCCAGTTTATTTTGTTCCCATTTTCCTGCCGCTTGTTAGTTTCTATAGTTTCGGATTAGTTCACAGCTGTTTCTGTTCACCATGATTAGTTCTGTGTATTTAAGCCTTGTGTTTGATTCAGTTGAGTTGTCCATTATTGTTGCATTATTTTTGTTTGTTATGTCCTGTGTTTCATGCATCATGAGTTATTTTTTTTATACATTTTAATATTGCTGCAAATAGATCCTGCTTCAACTACTACTTTTGCAACCAGGTGTGGCACTGGCAGATTCTAGATCCAACCCTGCATCTACACACCTGTCTTAATTAGCTGGTTCAGGTGTGATGATTACACACCTGATTACAGTTGGGCTGGAGCTGAACTTTGCAGGAAGGTGGATCTCCAGGAACAGGATTGGGCACCATTGTGTTAAACAATAGAAAGGGTTAAACAATATATATTTTTTCAAGCAATTTAAACATAACCACATCCCAGACAGATGACAGGTTCTGAAATAAAAGTGACATTCAAATCTTCATAAAGAAATACGTTTATGCACTACCAATCATTCCAGACCCACCCTGAACTTCTTAAGCAATGATATATTCTGCTGCATAAGCTAATTTCAGCCTTTCTGAAATGAACTTGCTCAATAAGAAAATTTACTTTTAAGATGGCAATGGGAATTGCACCTAGCAAGACAGTTTTGTCAGGCTATCTAGATGATGTTAGCTAGTGTTTGCATATATGATATGGGATTTTATAGGGTTAGAACATAAAACACAGCAATGAAGTTGTTACATTTTTAAAAACAACAACAACAACAACAAAGCACTGACTGATTCAATAACATAGTCTGCAGTGCTTTATGTAATCCCAGTAAGATCTTTGCAAAAATTCAACATCTGAAAAACATTTCATTCCAAATTTCATTCTAAATCTATACAAAACATAAATGGAAAAATAGTTCCAGAACAAAAGCTCAGTAAAAGTGGGTGGTCACTGATGAGCTGTATTAGAGCTCATGCTAAACTAACAATATACAAAGCAATTATAATTCTTACACTTTATTTTGATAGTCCTCTTTAGACATTCTACTAAATATAAGTAATGAGATGTCAACTAACTCTGTTTAGAGTATTAGTAGACTATTAGGTTAGGGTTAGGGATAGGGTCAGTAGAATAACTTGATATGTACTTGCAAAGTTACTTACAGTTAGTAGAATGTCTCTTGAGGGACCATCAAAATAAAGTTTTAGCAGATATTAAGCAGACTGTCTACTAATACTCATATTGACTGGTAGTTGACTTGAAGTGTTATAGTGAGCAGAATGTCTCAAATCGGCCGTAAAAAAAGTGTTACCAATTTGGACATCAATTCATAAGCACAGGGAATATTTTTGCAGATTTACAGACTGTTACTTTAAACCTGTCAGATCCAAGGGGTGCCTACACTTTCTATTCCACAGTGACCACAGTTTCACAGTGTTTAAGTGTGTCCAGATCTCAGACCCACCGCTGGCTTTGGCTCAGTCAGAGAGGCTAACGCTGGCTCACTGCCACAACCTTCCTCTGGGACCATCTCCGCTGGCTTCTCTTGGATCTTACTAGAGATCTCCTGCCGAATCCTACACATCTGCTCCTGTAGCTCGCTAATCAGATTCACTACACTCTGTCAGAAAGGAATAGCGATAGGGAAGAACAGATAAAAGAAGGTAAGATAAAATGGAAAGAATGGATTATGGGAAGCAGACATGCAGTGGTCTCCTTCCTATCTGTGTTCTTGAGGTTACTTCAATAATTAGATTATAAAATCACCTTTGTGTTTTCTAGATGTAAGTCCTGATATATCCTTTCCTCAAGTGCTTTTCTTTCCCCAACCATTATCAATCATGCATAGCAAAATTATATAATATGAATAATAACTATCAGTCAGTGTCATTACACATCAACACTGTTTAGTACCACTACAAACATCAGGTTCATAGTTTAAATATAAGTGTTAATGTATTTTGCTGAATGGAACTTTCACATACAGTGATGGGAAGATGTTTCTCTAAACAGACTGTCTGCATGAGGTATCGATTCATTAACTCTTCAAGCAAAGAAACTCATACTAGTTTAAAAGAATATAACAACATAAATGTGTCTAAATGTCCCATTATAAACAAAAGGTAACACTTTAGTTTAGTAACCAATTCTCACTATTAACTTGCTTATTAGCATACAGCATACTAGCACATCGGCTGTTTATTAGTACTTATAAAGCACATATTAATGCCTTATTCTGTATGACCATATTTTAGATCCCTTAATCCTATTCCATACTTACATTTACGGTAGTTGTTACCTTACTAACTATTAATAAGCATCAAATTAGGACATTATTGAGGCTAAAGCCGTATTAGTTAGTTAATAGTGAGAATTGGTCCCCAAACTAAAGTGTGACCAATCAAATCATTTTATAAACTTTATAAATATACCTTTTTTATTATTATTGTTTACAATGTACTCAATAACCAAAACTATTAAAAAGTTATGCATAATCACGAGATTATGCATAACTAGAAATAGTTTTTCATTCTGCTTTTCCAGGTCACTGGGTTGGTTTAATAAAATGGAACATTTCAGGATCATTCATGAACATCATTCAACAGCCCATCTACAAGCCTTTAAACAAACCACAATGGGCTTTCTGAAATATTATTTTAGACGAGTAAATATCTCACTGACATTTCACACAAGCCAAGGTCTCAACTGTAAGAGCTTTGTTAAAGAGCCACGTAAATACATTTCTTTTCCAGGATATATTGTATGGGTAAACAAACCAGCTTCCAATTCATCATCTGTGTATTAATCTTTATAAACATATCAAGTTAACTCAAAATTTAATGCATAAAGCTGTCATTAGCTGAGGAAGTTGGATTTTCTGTGTGAACCAAAATGGCTTCATAACTTTTAGTATGTCAGGCACAAAAAGCTGTGACAAAAATAACCGTAACTGCAAAGACAGGGATGAAGTTTATAAAAAGTATAAAGTTTATAAAATTAAATTAAACTGTCAAACACAGCTTCCTGTAGCATCTTTAACAGCAAAGGAGCCTGTGTTCTAATAAAAGTTTAAAAGTTAATAGTTGTATACTGTGTCCAGCACGTGGATGAAAGAACATTCATGTGAGATGCCATGTGACACCAACACCATGGTAAACTGGCCTATCTATTGCAGGTAGAAAGCCAAGACCTTGTGTGTGTGTGTGTGTGTGTGTGTGTGTGTGTGTATGTGTGGTGTGTTTGGGTTCACACCTGTGTGTCTTCTCCTCCCATCACATCCTTACAGTCACATGTGACATGCTGTGTCTCATAACGTAATCATTTGCTGTACTGTAGCATTTTACTTTTGGCTTTAAACTCAAAGGAGCAGTGAAGACTGGAGTGACGCAGCATATGGGTTGTTGGTGCATATCATTAATTTTTTTATCAACATCAAGATTTTAGGTTACCTTATGTGAATGTATAAGGTAAAGTGTATATGTTGGGTACTGTAACAGTGATAAATGTATGTGTGTGTGTGAGAGAGAGAGAGAGAGAGAGAGAGAGAGAGAGAGAGAGAGAGAGAGAATGGCATGCCACTGGAATGCTCATGGGTGAATTGGTGCCATTCTTTCACTGTGTGAAGCCAAGCAGTTGTCAGACATCATGCTGAGGTCATTCTTAACACTCTATGCTAAAAACACTCTGGCTGTTTGTCAGTTAGACTAGACTGCTCAAGACCATTACACTGAAATTTGTTCTGCTTGTATTTAATGAGGCCCATTATGGTTAAATGAAAGGTGCACAGCCGCACAAACACATGCAGCTTATGTCAGCACATTGTAATGTCAGAGGAAATGTATATTTTAGATCAACCAGTTCTGTCCCACAGTAGTCACTCTGAACATAGTAATTACATGAAAATAGCACACTGTAAATTAAGACACAAATTATTTGACATAAGTCCAAATACTTATACAGGCTTACACAAGCACTATTTTGTACCAGTAGCCTTTTGTTTTACATTTAATTTCTTTATAGTAGAGTTTACAAGACTTTGTTTACAAGATTGTGATTCAAAACACTTATTTTCACTGTTTTTAATATAACAGTGTTGTCTGGATAGGTTTGTTTTTATATTCCACTTTATGTATTGATAGACTTAAGAAGTTTGTTTTTTCCTTGCATGTGAAAATAGGTCACATCATTTCATTTCACTGCCACCCTGTTCTCTAAATCAGTATCAGCATTGGGCATTAAAAATACTCATTTATGTGGTAAAAGTGGTATAGATTTTGAACCTTTGCAATTCACAAAGTTCTATATATGTTATATATATTTTATATATGTCTATATAATTATATATACAGCACACACCCACTGATTAGTAAGCTTCGGGGGATAAGACACTGATTCAGTGACAAAAATAAAAGAAAATAAATTAAATAAATAAATAAATAAAATGTTGTGAGACACAAATGATAATGTTCATAATGTAACCAAGCTATATTCTTACTTTAAACTGCATCTTTTAATCTACTTTGAGTGAATCCAGAATCTGCTGAGTTTTATCTTAAATTTCATCAGAGTTTTACCTCAGCTTTATGTTGTCTCTCAGCACTGTTGATGTGTTTCTCCTCCATGTTCCCCAGCTTCAGTTTTAGACAGGACACTTCTTCCATTAATCCCAGTGTCTGTGACTCTAGAGAACTCCTGTTCAGAAGCTCCTATGAGAGTCCACACAAATATACATGTAAACACACACACATGCACACACATAAGATAAACTAAGGAACTGCACTCTTAAGGAGGCACAAAGTCCGTTCAAAATCTCTGTACTTTGCTGTCCCACAATGGCTAAATATACACAGGTTATGAGGGCTATATTTACCCATTTCTCTCGCAGAGGCTGACACATGAGAGAGAGCTTGAGAGTTCTGATCATGGTGGGAAAAGTGCATTACATTTGAGTATAGTAAATAGAAAGGGTGTTAAAATGCAGTGATTGAACATATCATGTTATGTCAAAATTCCAATCGATGCAAAAAACTCAAACAAAATACTTTTTTGGCACATGTTTGGCACAACATACATGTGTGAAACAATATTTCCCCAAATGAAGACGATGAAATGCAAATGCATATCAACCCTAAGTAATGATCACTTGAATGCTTGCCTGAAACATGCCACCAGCAGCTGCAGCCCTGATTACAATAGACTGGCTGAATTGTTTCATTGCAAATCAACTGAATAAATGGTTGATTTCTTGCTATAAAACTTTGAGCACTCTTGGTGTAAAAAAAAAAAAGAATAAAAGCAGCATCTTGCCTTCTTTGATCTTGATCGTTAAACTCAAGACACCGAACAGGGATCTATTTCACAATACAGAAGCCTGAAAAACCATTTCAAAATGTAAGTAGCTAGTGCGGAGTTTTATGTGAGCTTTGAGTCTTTCAAAGACGGCATATGGAAAATATTAGGCCCATGTCACTGGAATTGGATTTGCCTTTGAAGGCCAAAACCTCAGTGACCACCGGCACATGCCCTAAAAAGCTTCCCATCTGAACGCTGGAGATTTAATCAACCATAGAGCTTTCAAAGCAAAGGCAAGTTAAACAGAAATTTGCAATAAGCTTATGAGGAAAATGAGATTTACAAGCAGTGGAATGTGAATTTAGTCCTTGAAAATGGTATGAATAAGTACAGGAGTCTTGTCATGCTTTGAACGATCTTATTTTCATAAATGGTCCTAATGTCTCTAGCAGGTCTACTGTAACACCAAAGCTTCAAGACTACTCTGCTTCTCTCACTTACTTTCATACTACACTTTCTTTTTTTTTAGCTGGACACATAAATATTTATTTTCCCTTCCCCCTCCTCCATCCTTGTCTGACTGATAACAGAAGAAAAAGCTGGTTACCTGCTTTCAACTAATTACATTTCAATGTCCATGTCGATGCCGGCCCAGGAATACCACCGCGACTTAAATATTTGAGTTGCCAAGGTGATGTAATGGCCAGTTTCCTGGAATCCCACCAAAGAATTTCCACACAGATGCCAAAGTTCCTTCTCAGGCACATCAGGTGCAGATTTTTGCTACTAATGTAAGATGGTTCCCTAGAGTAGCTATTAGATTAATTTAAAATAATTTAAAGTTTAAAGACCAAAACTAGAGCAACCAGATTTTTATATTTTCTGAATCACAAATCTCAGAAGAATGTCCAATGTAAAGTCTCTATGGTATTTATATCTCTAGACATTGCTCAGGTCCCTGAAAATAGACGTACAGTCACACCAACCCTTTTAATGCATGACTGCTCATTTAAACATTTAGCAAGCCTATTAAGAAACCGGGCCTTCCCAGTTAGGGTGAAGCAATGTAAGCAGGTTTTAGGTTTTAAGCAGGTATGATAGTCCTAAACAGCAGATGACTAATGATGTAAATGTTTCAGTGCTCTTAATCGTTTGCTTTTTGAATCTGACATAGTCTAATGCAGACTTTGCAAAGAGGCAAATACTTTGATGTATTTAACACAATTCTTCATTGCTTGAAATAAGTTATTTTAAAAATATGAAAATCATCTCAATGTCTTTTTTTTTTGTTAATAAATATTACCAATACCTGTTGAAGCCTCTCCTTAGTAGAGTTGAGCTTGTGCTGATATTCCCCAAGAGAATTCTCCAGGTCTCTGATCTTCTCTCCCTGAGCGTCCACCTGATCTGTCAACACACTCACCTAAGAAACAGGTTTAAATTAAGTTTGTTCATTTGAGGCATATCATCTTTGTCCACTATCCTTCTAAAGTTTCTTCCAGGTCTGGAGAGTAAAGTATAAATTACTCACAGTCTAATAACACTCATTATTCTCTCTCTCTCTCTCTCTCTCTCTCTATATATATATATATATATACATTGCATTATTCAGAGATTCAAACAAATTAATCTATATTCTCGTCAACCCAGTTGATCAGGAAGCACCCACGTGTACTTACTGTCAAAAACCCAACAAGCCAGAACAGGACTAATCCGTAAAGCCCTGTCTGTTTCCATGAAACACTACAATTGTACTGGCTTGGCTATGCACACCTTTCAGTTTTCTTCAATTATTTTATGCTAAAACTGAAAAGTTTCTACAAAATATCTTCATAAAAATGGACATTTATGAAAATGATGTTCAGTTTTGTGAGCAATTTGAACAGATCTGTATTCACAGCTAATATAAATTCATTTTTTATTCTTCTTATATTGCCCACATCAGATTCCAGAATTTGCAATATCTTCCATAGAACTATTATTACTGTAACTTAAAAGCAATTTGATGGATTTCAAGTGTCAGTAGTCATCAGGTGCAGATCACAGCTGTAGTGCTATAAATCTCAGTCCAAACATATGCTGATTGTGTAAAAATATATAAAAATAAAAATAAAAAAATATATTTTTTGAAAGTATGAAGTTGATGCAGTAAGTGCTTTTAAGGAAGAACCGGCCATTGGATTTGATAAAGTTTGACAGGCTAGTAATATTAAATCATTTTTGTTCAAGGCACATAGTAGCAAGTAAATTAGATATACATGAGCAGAACTGTATATTTTGTCATGTCTGTTTATATCTGTTATATTTGTATAACCTGTTTTTTTTTTTTTATGAATTCTTATTACAATGTCAGTATGTGATTTAGTGTTTTCTCTACAGCTAGTCATGACTGTGCAGTTACTGTATATATATATATATACTGTATATATATATATATATTTAAACATTTAAATGTTATCAACATTTTAAATCCATAAATACGTTCTATAAACCTCAAATGATTCATAGTATGTTTCTAAAAAGTTTACATTTCAGAGGCTGTCAATGTTGATAATGTACAGTAGTTCTTATTCAAAAAAGATTACATTGGCATCATACAATTTTGATGTTTAAGCTATTTATTGAAAAATTCATACTGTCTAGATGCACCTTAACAAATTAATTGTAACAAATTGCCCCCATGTTTTACCTGTAACACAAGAGACTCTTTATCTCCTTCTAGACGAGACAATCGCTCCTGGTAGCTCTCACCATTGCCTGAGCCTTGCACATTGACCTGTGGTTCACAGGAGTTGACAATCAACAGAGAAGAAAGTGAAACACTATAAATCTTGAAGCGTGAGGCCCTCAGCTACCATTAAAAATGCGTACAGTAACTGGCTGTGTATAGTTTTATATATATATATATTTAAACATTTAAATGTTATCAACATTTTAAATCCATAAATACGTTCTATAAACCTCAAATGATTCATAGTATGTTTCTAAAAAGTTTACATTTCAGAGGCTGTCAATGTTGATAATGTACAGTAGTTCTTATTCAAAAAAGATTACATTGGCATCATACAATTTTGATGTTTAAGCTATTTATTGAAAAATTCATACTGTCTAGATGCACCTTAACAAATTAATTGTAACAAATTGCCCCCATGTTTTACCTGTAACACAAGAGACTCTTTATCTCCTTCTAGACGAGACAATCGCTCCTGGTAGCTCTCACCATTGCCTGAGCCTTGCACATTGACCTGTGGTTCACAGGAGTTGACAATCAACAGAGAAACAGAGAAGAAAGTGAAACACTTGAAGCGTGAGGCCCTCAGCTACCATTAAAAATGCGTACAGTAACTGGCTGTGTATAGTTTCTCAACATCCTGTATGATACCATTTCTATTAAATATGTCACAGCACTTTAGCAAAACTTCACTATACCCAGCTCACCTAGGGTTTTAGAGGAATTTCTTAAGAGGTTTATTTTGAGTATAAGGTTTTTGTGCACAAGCTCCATGCAGTTAAAGCTGAGACTCTGTGGAATATGTCAGTGATGTGTGAAATACTGTACTAACAAGATTTGCATCTGAATATCTGCTCTAAGCAATAATGTAAAACAGTCAGTGGTCTGCATTACGTCAAAGAAAACGTAAAAGAACAAGAATGGTTGTTTTGAAGTTTAATTAAATGTGTGTTGTTGTATGCATGTTCACAGTCATTTAAATATGTTCTTAAATACAATGTGTGTTTGCATTGTATAGGTATAAAGGCAAGAGAACGTTGTAAAAAATAGTATGCTTTGAACAAAGACCTAAAAGAGACTTCAGTTTAAGCAATTATACTACTGCAAGTCTTCTAATCTGATTCTATTCCAAGAGTCCTGATATTTAAAAAACACCGGAAAATGTCACTATTTATGTCACTTCGGTTTGGTCTGTTTGTAGTATTCCAGACCAGAGTATTTAAGCAGTGTGGAGTGGAAGCAGAGCAGAGCAGGTAGTTCTATTATTTTACCTGGAGTATGTGTTTTTCTTTTACCAGAAAATCTTCAGCATACTATATGGCATCATACAGTAAAAATAATAATTAAAAAAATTCTAAAGGTACTTACATTATTAAAGGCAGAGGTCCTGACAAAAGTTCAAAACCAGACAAATTGGTGCTGGTTCACAGATAACGACTGATATGTTTGAATGTTCAAAATCATGATCTGAGAGATGTGCCGATGAACATGAGATATTCAATATCTAGACCTGTCTGCGATCTAAATGCTGCAGTGTAAAATGTGTTTTGACTGGAAGTGGCAATGACAGACATTTGTGTACTGTAAAACAAAAGAAATAAAGAATATAAAAAACAATCTGAAAGTCATTTTCATATGGGCGGCGGGGTCCACAGTCCTGCAGTTTACCTTCAATCCTTATCAATCTAACCTGACTCCAATTTTCTAGTAATCCTTAGACTTTGATTAGCTTGTGTTTTATTAAGGTTGGAGTTAAACTCTACAGTGGACCTCCAGGAATAGATTTGAAAAACGTCTTGGGTTACGAGGGTAACCTTGGTTCCCTGAGAAGGGGAGCAAGACACTGTAATCTGCTGAGGTACTGTAGAGAATGCCCTCAGCATGGCCGGTGCCTGAAGAATGTGTCTAAACACAACAATTCCACTGGCCGATGACAGTCCTTGATGTCACTATCTGTGCACCCAAAAGTAAAAGTTGGTGCCTACAATGTACATCATCAATGTATTTGTCTGAAGGAGATGTTGCAGACAGGCCCAAAGCATGGCATCCTGGCCTTGCGGGCCAGCTCAAAGGTCTGGCTATGTCAGCTCCAACTGCTAGACACCTATTGGGAATATTCTCACAGGGATAACATTTCCAGTTCCCTTAGCCTGCCTCTAAGGGGAGCAAACATATAATCTAAAAAACTACAAACTAAATCTATAGCTTTACTGCCCAAATATAATGGGGGAAAGAAGGAGAGATGTCACTTCTCTTCAGCCATCTGTCTTGCTTCAGTCACCTCCCTCAGATCCTGCATTTTTGTCCTAGTGTCACACCTCCTCTGTGCTCTACTCCTCTTCTGAAGTGGCAACACAC